TCTGTGACTCCCTCTCTCTCTGACCCTCCCCTGCTCACGCTGTCTCTCTCTCTCCTAGAAATAAATAAAAACATTAAAAAAAAAAACAAACATTTTAACTCAGTCTCTCTGGACACTTTGCATGTTTATAAAAATGAAAATGGGTAGAATATCCACACTCTGCATTCACTGACCTGTGCTTTCTCCCTTTTAACACACATTTGACTTTTATTCTTTCATTCAACTACTAAGTGTCTACTACACTAGGCATGGTTCTAGACTTGGGATACAAGAATAAATGAAATAAAGATGTCTGCCCTCGTGAACATCACATTATAGTAGTGAAAGCTTATGTATTATGGTATAATTCAGTCATTTTCCAAAACATTGCTGTTTCCCTACTAGGTTTGTACGATAAATTTCTGCCAATAGAGTACTAAACAATTTGTACCGAGAATTCCTTCCTTATAAGCAAGGAGCTTTTAAGATATCGCCACCTCCTTGAATGAAGGAAGTTGCAGAATCTAGGATCGGGAGAGGGACAGATTAAAGTGAGCCTTAACCTGGGACTTTGTACGGGGATTGGGCACCACATTCTAAGATCTACAAATACTATAGCCGTCACATCATAGAATTCAAGCTCTAGGAGTTTGTGCCTATTATCTTGGGTTTTTTTAGGGCTAGGGCCCAAACACTTTCAGAAAGGCTCTTCAAAACAGATATAATACATACATCTTTTACTTCAAGGTCTTTTGTACATACAATCTGTATACTTACCTATTCATGCGACTTGAGATAGTCTGTGCTCTTTTTTCTCCCTTATAAAATAGATCTACGGGGGGCCTGGGTGGCTCAGTTGGTTAAGCGTCTGACTTCAGCTCAGGTCATGATCTCGCAATTCGTGGGTTCGAGCCCCGCATCAGGTTCTGTGCTGGCAGCTCAGAACCTGGAGCCTGTTTCGGATTCTGTGTCTCCCTCTCTGTCTGCCCCTCCCCCGCTCATGTTCTGTCTCTCTCCGTCTCAAAAATAAATACAAACTATTAAATATTTTTTAAATTAAAAAATAGATCTAGTAATTACTTTCAGGGTTTTATTAGACAGCACACATAAAGCATTTTTTCATTATTATTGATGTTGACAACAAATACATTGGCTTTCATGTATGTGCAACTCTTCATTAGCAAGAAGGGCACTGCTGTTAAAGGCATCATAGCTGCTAGGACAAATTGAACCATTGGGATTTCATATGATTGCTAGCAGCAGCCAGTGACAGCAGCTGATGTTCTTAGTGCCTTTCAGATACTTATGTCATCTAGGTCAAATCCAGGGCCACGATTAAAGGCTACAGAAGGGTAGCTTAAGGAAATTTTACATATGTTCCATTAAGAAGAGCAAAGCATAGCTCCAAGAGTTTATTATGATTTACTAAAACATTATGGGTTCAGAGCAGAGTAGTGTTCTTAGGGGTCAGAATCCTTTTAATCATGTGTCTAGTCATTTAACTGGAAGCTAAGTTTATCTGCTGCATCAATACTAAAACTAAACAGTAAAACTAACCTAACAGGGATGAGGAAGAAGGGAAATAAAGATAGAGAAGAGGAAATAAGAGAGAGGCTTTTAAAGGAAAGAGACCATTATATTGGTGGTAGTAGGGCACCTACCACAACTGACGGATTGTACACCTTTTTCTACCACCTATTTCTTTGTTGCATGTGTGTGAGCTGTTTCCTAGTCAAGCAAAGGGGTACTTCATCCTGCCATCACATGGGTGAAAGGATTATGTCAACATTCTAACACATAGGATACCATCATAAAAACTAGAAAAAGCAGGGGCACCTGGGTGGCTCACTTGGTTAAGCGTGGGACTCTTAATTTCCACTCAGGTCATAATCTCACGATGGTGAGGTCGAGCCCCATATCACTGGGCTTCCTCCATGCTGGGGATGGAGCCTGCTTTAGATTCTCTCTCTCCCTCTTTCCCTCTCCCACATGTGTGCTCTCTCAAAAACAAAACAAACAAACAAACAAAAAACCACCCCAAAACCTAGAGAAAGCAACCCCCTCTGGGTGGGACAGTTAGAAAGGCCCACCAGTGCCTCTGGGCTAAGCCAGCAGGGACTGGATAAGGCCCCTACTTGCCCCATTTTTAACTGGACACAACCTGCACAACTATATGCAGCTGCCTTACATCCAAAGAAGGGAAACCTGGTTAACCCTAAGGCACAGAGCACATACCTTACTTTTGATAAGATGCTGACTCCACAGGCTGTACCAACCAATCCACTTCCTAGAATGGAGATCTTACTGGTGATGAATGGCCTCCTCTGAAGTGAATTTCTTAAGAAGTTCACACTTGACCGCTGCCATCTTGGAAACCTAAAAGAGTGAGGGAAAACTGCCAAAGCCACTTCCAAATTTGGCATAGGTCTGCAGCGAGAGCGGGCATATAGAGAACCCCTGGGTCCCACTGGGGAAGGAGGTGCTGCAGACCCAACAGGGAATAACAAAACTGACTGGCAAAGCAGCTGGGTAGTTTCTGGCCAGCAGCCCAGCATCCAGAGGTAAACCAAGGGGAGGAAGAGGAGGGTGAACAGTTAAGAGGGATTAAGAACTAGGGAAGACAAAGGGGCTGCTCCACCAACGGTGACAGGGCAGTCACACCACTCTTCCTCCCCTCACCACCCTCGTTTTCCCCCTCACCCAGCCCTTGGCCCCAGGACCCAGCCCAGACTCCGTAATTCCAGGGCGGAGGACTGCCAAGCACACGGTACTTCGGGCCCCACTCACACAGGTGAAGGGCCAGCCACCCCTGACTGGGAGGCGCGCAGGTTGCCGGGGACACAGAAGAAATTCGCTCCCTCGGCGACCACGCTCCGCCTCATGGGCAGGACTCCAAAGCCCAGCTCGTGGCCGCCCCCTCAAGAGGCAGATGAAGAGAATGGAGGAAAACCACAGAAAAGCCGGTTGAGGCCACAAGGAGGCGAATCACTGGCCCGTGAGGCTGCGCGAGGCCGCGGGCCTCATTTGGCTCCTGGCACACCCGGCAGAAGCGAGGCCAGAATGAGGATTCTGATGCTTCGGCCTGGCCTGCACCTGCAGCTTGTCACCTGCACCGGTGAAGGGCTGTGGTTTCTGTAGGTGGCAGGTCTCCGGGAGGCTCCTTGGGCTCCTGGGCTCAAAGAGCACGAGGTGCACAAGATAACAATGAATTAGAGAGTCTCCAGCTGTCAAACGGCCTGCCCAGAACCCATCTATTGGAGAGACCAAATAAATTTATTTTTATAAAAATAATGTTTATTTTTTTATAAAAATAATGTTTATTTTTTTATAAAAATAATGTTTATTTTTTTATAAAAATAATGTTTATTTTTTTATAAAAATAATTATTTTTTATTTTGTTTCCAAATATCTTATTTATTTTTTTAATTTACATCCAAGTTACTTAGCATGTAGTGCAACAATGATTTCAGGAGCAGATTCCTTAATGCCCCTCATCCATTTAGCCCATCCCCCCTCCCACAACCCCTCCAGTGACCCTCTGTCCTCCGTATTTCAGAGTCTCTTATGTCTTGTCCCCCTTCCTGTTTTTATATTATTTTCCAAGTAAATTTATTTCTAACCAAACCTTGACTGGACGCATCCAGACAAGGATATTTTGATGCTCTGTTGCTACCTTTTTCCCAGAGCTGCAGGAGAGAGGGATCTCAGTGCTTTTAACCACCCACAAAGCGGAACAGGTAAAAATTTAAAAACCCACTATGAAAAGGGTTTTTTTTAAATAAAATATGAAACCCTAAGAGTTTGATCAGTGCAGGGCTAATGGATAACCATTTTCACAGGTGTATGGGAAAGCTCTAGTTAAATGCAGAACCCAAACTTCCGCTCTTATCGTTAAGTCTGGGATACACCAAGGTTTCTATTTTCTTGTCCCACCACGTTCTACCTAATCGTTTTCTAACTCATTTGTGAATCATAATACATAATACACATCTGAAAAATTCTTTTTTAAGAAGTAGAACAGGGGCGCCTGGGTGGCTTAGTCGGTTAAGCGTCCAACTTTCGCTTAGGTCATGATCTCGAGGTTCGTGGCTTCGAGCCCTGCGTCGGGCTCTGTGCTGACTGCCAGCTCAGAGCCTGTAGCCTATTTCAGAGTCTGTGTCTCCCTCTCTCTCTGACCCTCCCCTGCTCACGCTGTCTCTCTCTCTCTCTCCTAGAAATAAATAAAACATTAAAAAAAAATTTAAAAAAAAAAGAGAATACACAATGTAGAGCAGTTTTACTTCCTACAGAAACTGTATTTTGCAGGCTTTGAATATCTGCAAGCATTTACTAAAATGCAGTGTCAATTTGGTGTACAAAGAACAGCTTTTAAAAAAAGGCAAAATCCACAAAAGACCCTTCATCTCTGCTATCCTAACCAAACTCTCTCATGCTCCTATTTCATGCATTCAAGGGAAAAAGAACAAAGTAATGGGAAACTAATCATGTTCAGCAATAGAGGCCCAGAATGGAAACTACCCAGATAGCAAGAAGAAGAAGAGCATGAATGGTGATTCTGCCCAGCGCGTGCATCTCCACTAGACCCATGTAAACCTGCGTATCTGTCTTCTAATTGTTCGCACCAGTCCTGTCCTAGTCTATCATAGATTACTTCGGTCCTGATTTCTTAGAGGTTGTTTCACTGTGTATAGCTACCTTAAATTGTGAAATCAAGGAAATATTTCATATACGTGTGTGTATGCATATGTATATATAAATTAGAAATACAAGCACTTGTATACATATACATCAATAATCGATCCGTTGAGGTGCCCTAACTACTGTTAGATGCTTGAGGGCATAAATCGTGTCATATTGGCCTCATGACCATAACACAAACAAGCATACCAGTAGTTTGCTCCACAAATGACCTGGAGAATGGTCTAAGCTCCCTGTGTGTGGTATTTTAACAGAGACACCAAATTAACTATTTGAGTTTCTATGACTTGGAATAATACTTAACAGGTTTGAAAACATTTTTTTTAATGCCATAAAAGTTTTATTTCTGTTTCCGTCTGTTACACATGGCCCAAATAAGTACCTGGTGAAGATCACACATAGACACACAAAGCTAATGATGCATTGTAAAGTGAATATGCCTGTTCCCTAATGGAAGAATGAAATTTCAATGCTAGAAAAAGTGCTAGTTGTTTTATGGAAAGAATCATAAGTTTTATATTATAATGGATTATTATACATACTCTCTAAACTTGAAGTCAACTCTTATATGACATACTTCAGGAATATTACTTGCATTTGTATAGGCTGAGTATCATTAGAACAGAATTTTAAGAGATTGATAAAGAGGAGAAATATCTTTACCATTTCCTTTTTCTAGCCTTGAGGGACTGACGTTATGTCATGGGTCTCCAATGTTGTTGTTTTTTTTTTCATTTATTACAAATCAAATGAAAATACTTTCAAAATGTAAAATATACAGTCTGATATCTTCTGTTCTATAAAACAGTGGAACATTAAGAGGCTTTAAAATACCAGATCTTTTTGGACACTCCAAAGTGTGTCTGCGCTCTTCTTTAAAAGGGCCTCCTCCTCAGAATTCAAGTTAACTTTCACAATATCTGAGACACCATTTCGCCCCAAGATACAAGGGATACTGAGAAAGATTTCTTCTTTTATTCCATATAAGCCCTAAAATGCAAAATTAGATTATTGTTCAGTAAAGTGATATGGAAAAGCAGTTAATGCAAAAGAGCTTCAGCATAAGAGGATACCAGAGAGACCATGGAGCTCAGCTAGAATCAGAAGGTGGTAGAGTAATTATCAACAGTACAAATCCTAGGGCATCTGGGTGGCTCAGATGGTTAAATGTCCAACTTCGGCTCAGGTCATGATCTCATGGTTTGTAAGTTCAAGCCCCGCATAGGGCTCTGTGCTGACAGCTCAGAGCCTGGAGCCTGCTTCGGATTCTGTGTCTCCCTCTCTCTCTGCCCCTCCCTTGCTCGTGCTCTGTCTGTCTGTCTCTCTCAAAAATAAATAAACTTTTAAAAAAAGAAAACAACCAATATCAATCCTAATGTCCTATGACTCTGAGGAGTTTGTGTTCAGTGAAATAAAGAACCTACCCAGGGCCTTCAAAGGGACCAAGAAAGGCGATATCTACTTCACCCCTTGCCAGGTCCATCTTTCTGTCCAAAGGAAAGATGCCATCCGGTCCTTCAAGATGCCATTTTATCTGATAAAGGACTGCAAAATCAAGCAGCCTGTGTTTGGTATAAACTACATCAAGAGAACAGTGAAGGGTGACACAGGAAATGGCTGGGAAGACTGCTTTGTATAAGTTGACCTTTACACCAACAGGCACCATTGAGGTGGACAATAGATGTTACAGGGGACATGTCAATCTTCCACAGGTGAAGGCTCCAATGGAGCCTATAGATACTCTCAAGTGCCCAGCAAGGCCTTTGCTTTCCCCTCCCAGTAACTGCCAGAATATACCCCTGCCCTCCTGGATACTTCTATCCATCACCCTCATCTGACTTATCCAGAACTTCCCATGATGAACATGGCCACCACCCTATTCTGGGCTTCTGGAACCTCCAGCCAGCAGCCCTGATGTTCCCTCCACTCCTGCAGTAGAAGCCAAGGCCACAGAAGTAGCTGCCAGAGCCAGTTACAACCTGGGCCACAAACACAATGCCTACATGCTCACAAACCAGTTTCTGCCACCTTCCTACTATATCCTGTGGAAGAAGACCCAGTAGACACCTCACACTTCCCTGCTTTCCATCCCTCCTTGCTCTTTCTCATCTATCCCTTGGGGTTGACTTTAGGGTTGGAGGAGGCAAAGGGAAGGTCTTGTTCTTCTTCCTTCCTTATAATTAAACATTACCAGGAACTAGCATGGAGGGAAGGAAGAGGCCCACTAGACTACGGAGTGGTGCTTCCCAGCTTCCCACAACAGCCCAGAGCCCACAGGTGCTACGCAACCAAGCTTCCCTCTCACCATCTTTAGGGATTTCCTCAGAATCTTAGGGTGTGCCCCTTGTGCCTGTTTCATTCTAGTCTCCCGCAGAGGGCTTCTGGCCACCTTCTCCACCACAGTCTAGCTCCCTCATTTGGGGAGGCACTTTATACTCAACCTCAAAAGCTCCATCACACCAGCCACATGTCTTCCTTTGAGGGCCCCAGCCAGGCTATATTCACATTCCCGCCACTCTGATCTGTGCCCATCCATGGAGGCCACAGTCCCACCAGACTGTCAGCCCATGTTCCATTCCCAGCCAGGCTCCAGCTCCAGTTACATTCACCTTCCCTTTCTTTTCCTGCCCTTGGTCATTCTGTTGCCACCTCTCTGTAACTTTTGGAGCTTTAACATGAGTTGTTAGGAGTGGGTGGCATCAGGAACAAGGCCACTGTAGCTGAGGAGGAAGCCCCTCTGCTTCGCTATTGGTGTTTTGGGAATTTGTTACCCTCCACTTTCTCTGTCTCTTTTTTGTCTGGAAGGGGATTCTAGGACTAAAGTTGAAGAATGTCTGTCCATCCAATCATGCCACTTGGAGGCTGTTGTGTGGGCTAGAAATAAGGGTCCTGGCCCCTGGGGCCTGGCCTTTCTTGGTCATATGTGCTGACCATGACCTGCTACCCAGGCCCCTCTTCTCTTTAAGCTTCATGCCTGGTTGACAATATGACCCTTGAATACACTAAAATTGGCTCTCATTTGCTCCTGGATTGGCCATGAAATGAGGAAATGGCTATTTAAAAGAATTCCCTATTTATTCGAAAAAAAAAAATCCAGTCAATATATTAATATGAAATAAACCATACTCTTATTTGCTGAAAATGTGAATAAAACTGAAGTAGCTGGGGTAAAAAAAAAAAAAAAAAAGAGTATATGAATGATTATGCTCTTAATGTCAAATGTTTATTTTCCTATAAAATATAACTTGTCCATTGATTTGTTCAGTAAAAACTATGAAATTTCTGTATTACTCAATCTCACTCTCAGAGCATTTGACACCTCCTTGACTCTTCCTCAGGACCACACTAGGAATAATTTCTTATTCTCCTACAGCCCCTGTATATCCTCAAAAGAAGAGGGGTGTGTATCTGTTGTGCTCTCATTGTCTCTTTCAAATCATTAATGCCCTACTCTCTTAATATTTCCCCTATTGGGGGGAGGGCTCATCTTATTCAACTCTTCTTCCCTAATGATGATCTTCTAACATCTTGGTTACTCTGTCTCATTCATAAAAGACTTACACCTGGCTCACAATCTTCCCTCCTTTAGTTTCTGCAATTACTTTTGGTGACTTCCTTGTTCATGTGGATAAACTGACCATAACCAAATCCCTTTCTTTCCAGTTTCTTGACTTCTTTATCTCACAGAACCTTCTCTTCCCACCCCAAGTATCCTACTGTGGACACTGTTATGGGGTCCTTCCATATCCAATGTAGATCCCATGACTCATTCTGTAACCCTTTCACCATATACTAAGACCCTCTGTTTATTTTGATTTTTATTTTATAAATATTTCTTAAATTTCTTATTCATTTTCTTTTTATGATTTATTCATTGTATGTAGATCATATTTGAGGGCAAAGGTCTTGAATTTGTCTGTGACCCTTTAGCAGAAGTCAAACCCATTTTTAACATGTATTTAAGCCGAAAGCTACACCTCCACCCTTCCCTTCCTCTTTCTCCTCACCCTTTCTTTCACACTCCTCAAGTAAAATCCACACCCACATGAATTCAGCTATGTTCTCTCTCCATTCCTGTGCTCAGATTCCTGGAGAAAAGAACACAGTGAAGTTGATCTTTAACTCACACTACAAATTAATGCATACCAACCTTCAAATAAGCATCCACCTAACAGTAATTCTGCTTTTTTTTTTCTTTTTTGGTCATATTCTATTTCTCACTATCTACAAAGATTATTTAAAATCTTCTCAAACGTCTGACTTTTCTCTACATCCCATGATTCTCAGCAGCAGATGATTTTGTCTCCTTTCACTAAAAAGACAGAAGTCTTCAGATGCATCCAATGCCAAACTTACAAATCTGCACGATTCCCTGCCTATCCTCTCTTTATTATCTCCTGTTACAATAGCTGTCTCTCCTCCTTTCTAGGGCTAATACCTTCATCTACGGTCTGGACCCCACTGCCTCTGCTTATTATGTCTATCTTCAATATCTTCTTTATTATCAGCATTTTATCTTTGGAAAAAAAAGGCAGGTGCCTAAGTGCCTCAGTTGGTTGAGTGTCTGACTCTTGATTTCAGCTCAGGTCATGGTCCCAGGGTCATGAGATGGAGCCCCTCACTGTGCTCCGCACTGAGTGTGGACCTTGCTTAAAATTCTCTCTCTCCTCCTCTGTCCCTCTCCCCCACTCACATGCTCGCTCTCTCTCGCTCTCTCTCGCTCTCTCTCTCTAAAGTAAAAACAAAGCAAAACAAAACAAAACTTTTTTTAAATAAAAAACACAAACTTGCCTGGCCTGGATTTTCCTCTCCAATTACTACTCTCTTTCCTTTCCTTCACAGCCAAATACCTCAAAAAACCTGTTTACACTTGTCTTAGTTTCCTCAGAGGTTCTCAAGGGACCCTTCCAAGGGACATTTGGCACTATCTGGAGACATTTTTGATTGTCAAAACTGGAGAAAGAGGGTATGCTACTGGCATCTAGTAAGTATAGGCTGGGATGCTACTAACATCCCGCAATGCATAGGACAGCCCTCCAACAATGAAGAATTATCCAGCCCAAAGTCGATAGTGCCAAGGCTAAGAAAACCCTAATGTGCTCCAATCAGATTTTCATTCCTATTACTTGATTAAACAGTTCCTGCTAAGGTTATCCATGACCTCTGTCACTTTATCCCCCTGGCATTTTTTAAAGTTTATTTATTTATTTTGAGAGAGACAGACAGCATGAGTGGGAGAGGGGCAGAGAGAGATTCCCAAGCAGGCTCTGAGCTGCCAGCACAGAGCCCAAGGCTCAAACCCATGAAGCTACAAGATCACAACCTAAGCCAAAACCAAGAGTCAGACACTTAACCAACTAAGCCACCCTATCCTCCTGACATTTTTAATCCTCATTTTATATGACTTCACAACATCAATCAACAACAGAAAACCAATTCTTTCATCTTTAAAGCATCCTCCTCTCTCTCGGTTACCATGGTTCCATGTTCTCTTGTTTTTTCTTTTAACGGTATGGCCACCACTTCTGATTGACTTTGTGGACTCACACTATATAAACTCAACTTTTAAAAAATATTTATTTATTTTTGAGAGACAGGGAGAGACAGAGCAGGAGTGGGAGAGGAGCAGAGACAGACAGAGAGACAGAATCCAAAGCAGGCCCCAGGCTCTGAGCTGTCAGCACAGAGCCCAATGCGGGGCTTGAACCCACAAACTGCAAGATAGTGACCTGAACCAAAGTCCAACGCCTAACCGACCAAGACTCCCAGGAGCCCCTAAACTCAGCTTTTAACACAGGAATTCCTCAAGACTTGATCTCAGTCTGTCTTCTCACTTTATTACACTCTCCTTAGGCAAATTCATTAACATTCCTGGCTTCCTATGTGTAAGGCATATCTGTTGTCTGTACCTGTCCAGCATCTCTTCCGTTGTTGTTGTTGTTGTTGTTGTTGTTGTTGTTGTTGACAGAACCTCTTTCCTCTTCAGGAACTGTCTCTCTCCAAACTGACTCATATAGAACTCCAACCCAAAACTCTCCTATAAGTTCCAGAAGCTCGTACCCAGCTGCCTATTTCCTCTTGGATATTGCAAAAGCACCTGAAAATGAACTTGTCCATACTGCAAACATGATCTTTAAACCTGGTTCTCCTTGAGTATTCCCTTCCTCAGTGGATTTCACTATCTATATATAAAGGTGCAAGACAGAAACCCACAAATGACCTTTCTTCTCCTTCTTTCCCACTCCATTCCCCTACCAAGCCCTAAGAACACTACCTCCTACCTACAGTGTCTCCAGTTGATCCTCTTCTCTTCATCTCGACTACTGTCACTTCTATTCTGAGCTACCGCACATCCTCTTGACAAGTTTCCCCATGTTTACTCTTGTCCTTTTCAAATCTGTTCCCTCCACCACAGCCATAGAAAACTTTTTACCACGAAAACTTGAAAAGAAATAAATTCTTTTGATGGTTTTCCATAGCCCTATGGTAAGGACTCAAATCTTTTTATAAGGCTTTCAGTAGACTAACCCTGCTTACTTCTCCAGCCTAACCATGCACTTCCCTTTGCTCTGTGCATTTCAACAATTGATCTTTTTTTTCCAGAATCTCAAGTACCCTCTCTTTATATCTACCTCACTTCCTCTGTACATGCATTCCCTCTATTTAGACTATTAGTTCAGCCTTCCAATGAACTCCTACTCATTATTCAGAATAGGTCATATTTTACTTCCTTAGGAAGCCTTCCCTTAACATCAGCCCTGCCCCCACCCAGGGTAGCTAAGTTCTCTTCTTGGTAATTTTTCACCATATCATTTATTATAATTTGTTACTATATATTTGCTTTTATGATTGTTTTAGTAAGTCCCTTTCTTTCGTTAAACTCTATGAGGTTAGGGTCTCTCTTTTTGTTCACTATTTCCTCAACATCTTGTAGAATGCCTGGCACATAGTAGGGACCCAACAATATTAAAGAAAAGACTATAAATGAAGATTCAATTTAAGCCTACCTTAACCATCATGGAAACTGGATGCACTCTCCTAAGATTTTTCAAAATTGATCCTGCTAGATCTGTCACAGACAGTCCGATAGCCCAAGAGGTGTATCCTTTCAGCTTGATAATCTCATAGGCACTACGGTTGTAGAAAGTAAGAAAATCAAATTCATGGGAAGTCAACTCAGAGAATACATATTATTTTGCAGGCATTCATTTTGAAGCAACCTACGAATCACTGCCACTCTCTGAGATTTCTTCCAAAATTATTTACCAATAGCCAAAAGAAATTTCTATACTAGTTTCAGAAGCTTCATTATTCATTACAACCCTAATCCACCCTTCTCTTATCATAAAGGTAGAACACTGGGGCATATGTGCCACTAAAGATGAAACTATTTTTATATATTTTTTATTGTTGTTTAAATCCAAACACAGAATCTGATCATCTTGAAAGTTAGCACATACAGCTTGCTGACCATTTAAAATTATTACCAGGGTGCCAATGTAACTTTATATAATTGTAAGCCATGGGTACGCATCTTTCATAAGAATATATCATTAAATCAACAATATATGGAAATATGGGGAAATATTTATGATACATTTTCAAAGGAAAATAGCACAGTCCTACACATTATGCAGTTTCTTATCTCAGGCTTGTTAGAAACATAATACATGTTTATAAGAACTTTAGAACTGCATCAGTCCACAAAGTTATTAATAGTGATTATGTTTAAGTAGTATTACGGGTGATATTATTTTCTCTACACTTTTCAGGATTTTCTTGTTTTCTACAATAAATACGTATCATATTCTTGCATTGCCACAAGCGGATTTGGACTGACAGTCAAATTCAAACTCAAAGAACAAAGAGGCTTTAACTTAGCACTGAGTTTATTTGGTTCTGAGGAAAGGATCCAGGACAGGAAACAGAATGTCCGGCATCATTATTCATATCAGGGGGTCTTGCATTCATGCGGGCACAGTTTCAAGGCCCCAGGACTACACACAATACACTCGGTAGCAAAAGATAAGGCCAATGCATGTATGGACCCCCTTGGCACAGCAAAGTTGGGACTGGACTGGACTTATTGGGGTATTGTGATTTGACTATCAATCCAAAACCAGGGCACAATCAGGGGGCATGCACATTGCTGTCAAATTTAGGATTAACTTTCAGACACTCCATTCAACATGACCAAGAGTCTGTGGGGTAAGTACAAGGGAAGGGAGGGAGGCTCTGTCTAGTGATTGATTGATGATATGGGAGTTGAAGAAAGTTCTGCAGTGGAATCTAGATGACAGATTTATCCTCTCAGGAATCAACAAAATGGGTTGACAGAGAAAAAGCGTTGAGAATAAAATAGCTAAGTATATAATCCTTTAGTTGTTCTTAACCATCCTAATGAAAATAAAACTGCTGGCATAAAAAGAAGGGTAAAGTGAGCATATAGAACAAGCAGTTTTAAGGCTATTATCATAAGACAAAAACTAATTGCTCTATGGGAATCTGGAAGGACATCCTATTAAATCATGATGTCACTAACCCTGCAATTGGTTAGATACTGGAAAATCAGAGGCTATGACACAAAAGTGTGTTGAGTTGTTTTTAGATAAATACTAGCAGTATCTCAGGATTCTTTATAATTATAGACCCTTTGCTAAGTGACTAAGGGGCAAATAATTTAATTTGGACACTGTACTGTTGAGAGGACTAATTGGAATAAGTACTGATCTGTAATGTGTTGCAGTATTTGGTATTTAAATCACACAGGACTTCAGTGGCAAGTGTGGTCTTCATCACTATTCCCTTATAGCAAGTGTTTCAAATTATAACATTCCCTGGGGTACGATGACTAGGGGTTGGGTAGACAAAGACTAACACTGTGACATCCCTGTAGGAAGTAGATGGGCTGCTCCATGACACTTAGAAACCAGCATTGGCTAAAACATATTCCTTAGGGCGTGGGTTGTGGTTCTGCCTCTGTATCAGGTTGATTCCTGAATGTACTGGGAATTGGCCCCTACTGGCCCCTATATCTGGAAATGTATAGTATATGGGTAAGGACACTTGTGCTGAAAAGGATACGAAATGATACTGAAATATTATCATAGCTGTTTTGCTAGACATTAACTTAAAAGTGATTTCTAAGTTCTAGAAGTCCTACTAACATGTAACTTGGCTAAAGCATGAGGGAGAATCAGGTGTGCTGTTAAAGGTGATGTATCCTTGTGTAGCAACATGGATGGACCTTGAGGGTGTTATGCTGAGCGAAATAAGTCAGGCAGAGAAGGACAAATATCATATGTTTGCACGTATAGGAGGATTAGGAGGAACTTGACGGAGGAACAAGGGGGAGAAGAAGGGCGGAAATGGTGGGGGAAAGGGAGAGAGGCAAACCATGAGAGACTCTTGAATGCTGACAAAAACTGAGGACTGATGGATGTGGGGGGAGGAGGGATGGGCATGGAGGAGGACACTTGTGGGGATGAGCACTGAGTGTTACGTGGAAACTAATTTGACAATAAACTATTTGTAAAAAAAAAAAAAGAAAGAAAGAAAAAAGGTGATGTATGTATGTTGTTGAAGCTTAAAGAGTCAGACGCTTACTTCACTTATAAGTAAACCTCGTTAACTTCTGATCATCTGATCTATTTCATGTTTCTTTTCATCAAATCATTTGATAAACACTTAATAATTTCTAAATATTGTTCTAACCATTTTACATGTACTAACTCATTTCCTCTTCATAATAACTTTCTAAGGTAGGCTTTCTTATCCCCATTTTAAATATGAAGAAAGTGGTGTGCAGCATTATTTATAACAGCCAAAATATGGAAGCAACCCAAGCACCCATCCATAGATGAATGGATAATGATGTGGTGAAATATACACCACAGTGGAATATTCCTTAGCCATAAAAAAGAATGAAATCCTACCATTTTCAATAACACTGATAAACGTAGAGGGCATTGCTAAGTGAAATAAGACAGAGAAATAGCAATACCATACAATTTCACTTACATGTAGAATATAAATAACAAAACATACAAGCAAACAAAAAAACAAGACTCTTAAATACATTGAACGAACTAGTAGTTGCCAGGGAGGAGGTAGGTGCAGGGATGAGTGAAATAGATAAAAGTGATTAATAGACACAAACTCCCAGTTATAAAATAATTAAGTGTTGAAGATGAAAAGTTCGGCATAGAGAATATAGCCCATAATACTGCAATACTATATGATGACAGATGGTGACTACATTAACTGTGGGAGCACTAAGTAATATATAGAATTGCCAATCATATCAGCATGGTGTATACCTGGAATTACTATACCATTGTATGCTAATGAAACCTCAATAGAAAAAAAGATAAGGGAACTGGGCTTTAATATTTTAAATAAATTCTCAATATCATACCACTAATAAATGATGAAGCCAGGTATCAAGCCTGAGCAACCTCATTCAAAGTCAATGATCATGATCACTGTGATGTATTACCCTCAAACACAAATGAGTTCTTATGAAATGATAAACAGATTTTCCTTCTGAAAAATGATTCCCCAAGAAAGCTATGCATAACTAAAGTCTGAATTTGGGAATTTCCAGGAAGTTAGAGTTCTTCATCTCACCAAAAGCAAAGCTCCAATACAGCCTTTTTGTCTGTGAAACTTATTCTTAAGACTCATTATTGGGGGGCCTGGGTGGCTCAGTCAGTTGAGCAGCCGACTTTGGCTCAAGTCATGATCTCACAGTTTGTGGGTTTGAGCCCCACGTCGGGCTCTGTGCTGACAGCTCAGAGCCTGGAGCCTGCTTCGGAGTCTGTGTCTCCCTCTCTCTCTGACCCTCTCTGGCTCATGCGGTCTCTATCTCTCTCTCAAAAATAAATAAAACATTTTTTTTTAAAAGACTCATTATTAAGGCACTGAGACATTGAATGAGTACTGTTACCTTCCAACAACTTGTTTATGGATATTTTTCCACTGGTCCTTGTCTGAATCAGTTCCTAACTTAGGGTCTAGAGTCTTCAGAGCAACACCAGCAACATTCACCCCACTCCATAAGGGCACTAAAAGAAATAGAATTCACTATAAATTCTTCTTCCCAGTACTGACTGTATCAGTTATTTTGAGTTCAATGGATTCACATTATAAAGTTAGGAAACTACCTTACACATAATATAAAAATAAGTTTAAAGTGGACAAAAGGAAGAAATATAAACAAACAAAATTATACAAATATATTTTTATATTTAAAAATTTATATATTTTTTGAAACTGTCAGAAAAATATGTGGTAGGATTATTTTGTATTTGTGTTGGTATAGGAGGCATTTTAAAGCAAAATGCAAATACAGACTCCCCAAAGAAAAGGATTGATAAGATAAAATATCATAAGCAACTAGAAAGAAAATAGCAACAAATTAACACTACTCAATAGAAATAAGGAGCTGACAGGGAATAACTGTCAACCTAGAACCTCGTTATCAGTTAATCTGTCATTCAAGAATGAGGTGAAACTAAAACACTTTCGCATAAACAAAACTGACAGTATGTACATCAGGAAGAAAGAATTAAATCCAGAGAAAGGAGTTAGATGCAGAAAATAAAGATACACAATACAATTGGCAAACATGTACATTAATACAGATGGGTACTAACTACTTCAATAATAACAACTAGTTTGGGATATGAGAACAGAATGGAACCCAGGAAGTAGTTAATACGTTTGACCCTTGAACAACACAGGTTTGCACTGTCTGGGCCCACTTATACATGGATTTTTTCCAAAAATATATTGGAAAATGTTTTGGAAATGTGCAACAATTTGAAAAAACTTGCAGACTAACCAAATAACCTAGAAATCCCCAAAATAAATATTTTTGAGTTGGTATTACTATAAAGAAAACAGCAATTACACTCTGTTTCAATTGACTGTTTTGTCAGTAAGGCTTCCAGTCAATAGTAGGCTATTAGTAATTGAATTTTGGGGGAATTGAAAGTTATATGCAGATTTTCAACTGTGTGGGAATTGGCAACCTTCACCCCCATGTTGTTCAAGGGGAAATTATATGTGAGAGAACAAGGCTAATCAAACTTAATATTTTCTAAGGTCTGTATATTATTCCATAGAAGAAAAAACACACTAATTATTTTGAGGTCAAGTATGAATGTTAAAATTTAATAGGTAACCACTTAGAAAGTGAGTATATAATCCAAAGTAGTAGAGGAAATTACAGAGAATTTAATTGATCCAATAGAAAGCAGAAACAAAAGAAAATCTCATTAAATAGAATAATAAATATATTCAAATCAATACTAAAAATATACTACCTTATAAAAATAAAGTCATGCAATATTAAAGGTGAGACATTAAAACACCCCTGGGAAAATTATTTATTTATTTATTTATTTATTTTTAATTTATTTCTGAGAGAGAGAGACAGCTGTGAGTAGCGGAGATACAGAGAGAGAGGGAGATACAGAATCCGAAGCAGGCTCCAGGCTCTGAGCTCTCAGCACAGGGCCCGACGCGGGCCTTGAATCCAGGAACCATGAGATCATGACCTGAGCTGAAGTCGGATGCTTAACCAACCAAGCCACCCAGGCGCCCCTGGGAAAATTATTTTAATGACTTTGAGGAGGAAGAACTGAGTTAAGAAAATTATACAAGCAAACAGAGTTAAATTAAGGCACTGGTAAAACAAATATTTATCCAATCAAATCAAAAGCATTAATTTTTTAAAAGTAAAACACTATGGTATGAGAAGTTCAGCTTGGGGAAAGGAAGCATAGTAATTGAGAGAGGTCATGAAATATCTTCTGGTGCATTTTCTTTTTCTTTTTTTTTAAAAATTTTTCTTTATTTCTTGGAAAGAGAGAGACAGCGTGAGCAGGGGAGGGTCAGAGAGAGAGGGAGTCACAGACTGAAACAGGCTCCAGGCTCTGAGCTGGCAGTCAGCACAGAGCCCGACTCTGGGCTCGAACCCACGAACCTCGAGATCATGACCTAAGCGAAAGTCGGATGCTTAACCGACTAAGCCACCCAGGCGCCCCCTTCTGGTTCATTTTCTTGAGTGGTGATTACACTGATGTGTTTACTATTTGACTATCCATTGAGCTATAAGTTTATATTCTGCACATTTTTCTGCATATGTTATGTATACTTAAGTGAAAAATGTTTTGAAGTATGCAATAAATTTCATCATGATAAAAAAAAGTACTTATTATGACCCTTGAAGTATAAAGAAATTAGAAGGATTCATTAAATGTTTTGAATTAACAAATGATTGAATGAATGAACAAATGTCCCTAGTCCAAACTCACTATCAAATGAGTTTTTTTGTGCTACGGAAAGATTTGCACAGATGACACAATTAGAACACTGTAAGAAGTAGTTATAACTGTGCAGCAGAAATTAAATGTTTAAGTTCAGAAAAGAAAAAGGTGGGTGTGGCCTAAGTAATAGTTTAAACCACATATTATATAACTTTACTTAATGAAAAATCTGAACTAAAGAAATCTCTGGAATCAGAAAGTAGATAAGTGATTGTCTAGGGCTAGGGTGGGGGGTGAGGCAAGAATGGGAGTTTCTTTTTCAGGTGATGAAAATGTTCTGTAATTACACTGTGGTAATGATTGCACAACTCTGTGAATATATTAAAATCCAGTGAATTAGACGCTTTAAATGGGTGAATTTTACAGTCTGTGAATTACAGCACAATTATGCTATTTTTTAAAAAAAACACACTAGGTTAAAGATTTCTAGAGAAGAGAAACACTCATAGACTTTTAAAACATCTATATGTTACATGCACTGTTTTATGAGAGGGAGCTAAATCCATGAACAGAAGACAAAGTATAGGAATAGAAAAACACACCAGGGAAACACCAAGAAAATGAAAGTTGTATAGCTATATTAATATCATAAAAAATAGACTATATAGAAAATAAGTAGGGGCGCCTGGGTGGTTTAGTCGGTTAAGCATCCGACTTTCGCTTGGGTCATGATCTCATGGTTCGTGGGTTCGAGCCCCACGTCGGGCTCTGTGCTGACTGCCAGCTCAGAGCCTGGAGCCTATTTCAGAAGATCTGTCTCCCTCTCTCTCTGACCCTCCCCTGCTCACGCTGTCTCTCTCTCTCTCCTAGAAATAAATAAAAAAATATTTTTAAAAAAAAGAAAATAAGTATTATTGTAGATAAGAAGTATAATGACATAACGATAATAGGTGTATACTTACCACTAGAATCACCATGTTCTCCAATAATCCAACCATGGCAACTTGTGGGATGAACCCCCAGCTTCTCTCCAATCAGGTAACGGAAACGGGCAGAGTCTAGATTACAACCACTTCCAATTACACGAGTTGCAGGTAAACCGCTTAGCTTCCAGACGACATATGTCAAAATATCCACTAGAAGCAACAATTTGTTACAAAAAATTTAATGGTAACTTCCTTCTACCATGTGCTTTCCTGAGTAAGTAAATGGTCGCAAAATCAAATACAGATTCATTACAGAGTTCAAAGTAAAGCAAGTCAACAAAGAAATAAGGATTATCTCCCACATAGGTTTTAAAGGGGAGTGATGGGCATGGAGGAGGGCACTTGGGATGAGCACTGGGTGTTATATGTAAACCAACTTGACAATAAACTATTTAAGGAAAAAAATTAAAAAATTAAAAATTAAAATACAATGCAAAAAATAAAAAAATTAATAAATAATAAAAAGGTTAAATTATTCACGATCAGAATTTTAAAACAAAAAACCTCTCTTTTGAGATAAAGCATGTACCTATCTGTGTGGTTAATAATCAATTAATTTTACCTCCTTAACTACACCCAAAGTTCTCCTCTCTTTCACCACAGCCTCATCTAATCTATCAGCATCTCCTACCGAGAATAAGGCCACATGCATGACCAGGGCCATATGCAGATGTGAACATACTCAGGAAAAATGTGAGAAGATCCTAAGCTTTAGCCCCATCTGTCTTTGAGGCTCTGTGCAAACAGGAAGTGAAGGCTAAGCCACAGTTGTAAACTGCCATGCTCAGTGTTGGGGGCATGCCCCAGCATGCACACAGAGCCCTCCAGCAAGGACTGGGCGATATTTTCTGGTTTCAGAACCGCAGAGAGAAAGATGGAATCACTCATGTCAAGCAGTGGCCTGTGTCAATGACACAAGTAGCTAAGAGCATTGCAGCCAAGAGCAGATATCACAGAGACAAGCACCAGTGGATGACACACTCAGAACTGATAACCAGCAGAAACAGAGGCGAACTGCGAAGGCCCAAAGGTGATTACATCACTTTGCGGCAACCTGTCAGACTCCTTAGACACTGACCCCTCTATGTCTGATCACTTTAAAAAGGGAGCTGCCACCAAAAGTTGTGCCTGATTGCTCTCTGAACAGAACAGACATCCTTTGCTGCTTGAACATAAGAAACAGTAAACGCCGACAGCTGATCTGGACCGGACCAAGGCCTTATCTCAACTGTGCGCCCACAGACTGACTTCCCATTTGGTTTGTTAGCTTCCTGCCCCCATTCTATCTCATTTGTTGTGTGACTTGTCTTGTGCTTTGCTCTGTGTGACATACAAGAAGCCAAGTTAAATATGTGAATGTCATCAAGCCTGGAGTCCTGAACCTTACATCACATTAACCTTGCTTTATGACTGAATAAAGCTGACATTGTGGAAAGACACAACCCACGCGTGCCTTCATAGCATGTTCATGACAAGAAGTTTAAGGAAAGTTCTGCCCAAACACCAGCTGACCACCTAAGGGATGTACATGGCCTACAACCATTGTGACCATGTACAACAAGAACATAGATCTTACAAAATTAATTCATAAAAGTCCATGAAGCAAACTACTACAACAGGCATCAACAAAAGCAAACTGCGAAAGGGGAGAATTCGATTTGCAGTTTTCATATTATATATTTTTGGCTTTTGGGGCATCTGGGTGGCTCAGTTGGTAAAACATCCAACCTTGGCTCAGGTCATGATCTCGCAGTCCATGAGTTCAAGCCCCATGTCGGGCTCTGTACTGACAGCTCAGAGCCTGAAGGCTGCTTTGGATTCTGTGTCCCCCTCTCTCTCTGCACCCCACTCACATTCTGTCTTGCTGTCTCTCAAAAATAAATACATGTTAAAAAAATTTTAATAGTAACTTTTTTGCCTTTTAAAGTTCTTATTTTAATTCCAGTTAGTTAACATACAGTGTTATATTAGTTTCAGGTGTACAATATAAAGTTTCAATAACTGCATACATTACTGGGTGCTCAGCATAAGTGTACTCCTTAATCCCCATCACCTATTTAACCCATTCTCCCAACCCACCTTCCCTCTGGTAACCATCAGTTTGTTTTTAATTGATAGTTTCAACTAAGCCAATGTCTAGTTTTCAACAAAAATTATGAGGCATCAAATGAAACAAAGAAGTATAGACAATACAAAGGAAAAGAAGCAATCAACAGAAGCTGTCCCTAAGGTACCCTAGACTTTGAAGAACTAACCTATCTTCAAGGCCACTGATTCTTTCTTCTGCTTTCTCAATCTACTGTTGGGCCATCTAGTGAATTTTCACTTCAGTTAACTTTTCAACTTCAGAATTTCTATTTTATTTCCTTTTTATAATTTCTATTTATTAGTATTTCTTATTTGGTGAGCTTTCAGCCTCATATGTCCTTTAGTTCTTTAGACATGGCTTGCTTTAGCTGTAAATATATTTAAAATAGTTGGTTTAAAGTATTTGTCTGCTGGGGTGCCTGGGTGGCTCAGTCAGTTATGTGTCCAACTCTTGGTTTTGGCTCAGGTCATGATCTCATGGTTTCTAAGATCAAGCCCCACATCAGGCTCCGTACTGACAGCACAGAGCCTGCTTGGGATTCTCTCTCTCCCTCTATCTCTGTCCCTCCCCTGCACTCTCACTCTATCTCAGAACAAATAAATAAACTTAAAAAAAAAAAAAGCATTTGTCTGGTAAATCTTTGTTAATTATCATGGCTAGAACTTCTAGCACAATGTTGAATGCAGGTAGTGAAATCGGGCATCTTGTCTTATTCCTAATCTTAGGGGGAACCTTTCAGTCTTTCACTATTAAGTATGATGCCAGCTTGGGTTTTTCAAGTTGAAGAAATTTCCTCCTATTCATAGTTTACTATCCTTTTTAAAATCATGTTTGGGTGCTGAATTTTGTGAAATATTTTTCTGCATCTATTACCACTTTAATCATTATATATTATCCTTCTTTGTCTCTAGTAACAATTTTTGTGTGAAAGTCTAATTTCTCTGGTATCAGTATAGCCACTCCAGCTCTCTTTCGGTTCCTGTTTATATGAAATAATTTTTTCCATCCTCTTACTTTCAACTTACTTGTGTCATTAAATCTAAAGTGAACCACCTGCAATTAAGCAAAACAAAGAAATAAAAGCCAAATTGGAAAGGAAGAAGTAAAACTATCTCTATTTGCAGATGACATGATCCTGTGTACAGAAAATCCTAAAGAATACACACACACACACACACACACACACACACACACACACACACTATTAGAGCTGAAAAATGAATTCAATGAAGTTGCAAGATGTAAGAAACACTCAAAAATCACTTGTGTTTCTAGGGGTGCCTGGGTGGCTCGGCTGGTTAAGCATTGCAGAAGTGAAAAAAAATTATAAAGCACATATTAAATTAGATAGGGCCGCAAACAGTGAAAACAATCTTGAAAAAGAAGAACACAGCTGAATAACTCACATTTCCTGACTTCAAAACCTAACTACAGAGCTACAGTAATCAAAACGGTATGATATTGGCAAACACAATTGAGAGTCCAGAAAACCCAGTCATATATGGTCAGTGGACTTTAGACAAAGGTGCTAAGACCATTCGATTGGAAAGAAGAATTTTTTTTAAAATGTCGTTGGGGCAAGTGGATTCCACATACAAAAGAATGAAGTTTGATCCTTTCCTCACATCATGTACAAAGTTAATTCAAGATGGCTCTAAGATCTAAATATAAGAGCTAGAAACATAGGGGTAAATCTTCATGACCTTCGATTTGGCAATGATTTCCCAGGTACAACACCAAAAGCATGAGTAACAAAAAGAGAAACAGATAGATTGGACTTCACCAAAATTAAATATTTTTACGTACAAAGTACGGTATCAAGAAAACAAAAGACAATCCATGGAATGGGAGAATAGATTTAAATCACAGATCTGATAAGAGTCCTATAGCCAGAATATATAAAGAACTCGTATTACTCCACAACCAAAAGGCAAACTACCCAATTTAAAAATAAGCAAAGACCTTGAGTAGATATTTCTCCAAGAAAATATACAAATGGCCAACAAGCATTAAAAGATGCTCAAGGGGCTCCTGGGTGGCTCAGTCAGTTGAGCGTCCAGCTTCAGTTCAGGTCATGATCTTGCAGTCCGTGGGTTCGAGCCCTGCATTGGGCTCACTGCTGTCAGCCCATCAGCACAGAGCCTGCTGCAGATCCTCTGTCCCCCTCTCCCTGCCCCTCCCCCTGCTGTGCTCTCTCAAAAATAAATATTAAAAAAAAAAAATGGAAAGATGCTCAATGTCATTAGGCAATAGGGAAATGCAGACCAAAACCACAATGAGATACCACCTCACCTCCACTAAAATAGCTAAAATTAAAAATATCAAAAATAACAAATATTGGGGTGCCTGCGTGGCTCAGTTGATTAAGCATCCAACTTCACCTCAGGTCACGATCTTGTGGTTCATGAGATCCAGCTCGCTGCAGTCAGCACAGAGCCTGCTTCAGATCCTCTGTCCCCCCCTTTCTCTGTCTCCCCTCTGCTCATGCTCTCCCTCTCTCTCTCTCTCTCTGTCTCAAAAATAAATAAACATTTTAAAATGAAAATAACAAGTGTTGGCAGGGATATTGACAATGAGAACATTTACACACTGCTGATGGGAATGTAAGATAGTACAGCTACCATAGAATACAGTTTGGCAATTACTCACTAATTAATCATAGAATTACCGTAAGACCCAGTATTTTTTTTTTTTTGACAGAGAAAGAGAGAGTGTGTGTGTGTGCTGTACACATGTATGCAAGTTGGGTAGAGGGAGAAAGAGAGAGAAAATCTTAAGCAGGCTCCATGCCCAGAAAGGGAGCCAATATGGGGGGAAGGGGGGGCTCAATCCCAACCGTGAGATCACGACCTCAGCCGAAATCAAGAGTCAGACGCTCAACTAACTAAGCCATGGAGGCACCCCTAAATGACCCAGTATTTCTACTCCTAGAAGTATATGCAGGTGTTCAAACAAAAATTGTACATGAATATTCCTAGTGTCACTATTCATGATAGTCAAAAGGTAAAAACAATCCAAATGTCCATCAGCTGATAAACGGATAAACGGAGGGTGGTATAGT